GATTACCTTGTCAGGCTGACCTTGCCTTGCAAACTGCGCCTTGCAGCGCTTTATGACCGTCTCTGCGGACAAGTCAGGGAGCAGTTCAATTTCCCAAAAGTCAGAGTAATGATCAACGAGGAGAAGATAGTCCTTTTGTCTGTGGCTGAATAAGTCCATGCTGATGATTTGCCAGGCCCTTGTGGGCAGTTCGTGTGACATCATGGTTTCCTTTTGCTGTTCATGAGCGTACTCGTTGCATGTGGTACAGTTGCTGACAAAGTCTTTAATTTCTGCTTGCATGTTTGGCCAGTATAATGTTTCACGAGCCTGACGGTAGCATGCGTCACCTCCGACGTGACTGGAGTGTATGCGGGTAAGCATCTCTGGACGTAGTGATTTGGGAATAATGACCTTCTGACCTCTGAACAAGACGCCATTTTGCACACTGATCTCATCTCGAAAGGTCCAGTATTCTCTCACTGTGAAAGGTGTCTCCTCTTTCAGATATGGCCAACCTGCTAGAGCCATGGACTTCAGTGACTGTAGGTGTTCGTCCTTGTCAGTATGTTGCCTGATCTGGGCTAGGCGGTGATCTGTCACGTTTAAGTAGTCTGCCTGATTGATCTGTTGAACATCTTGTTGTTCCTGCTGTAGCGAACAGATGGCCTGCCGCTGATAGGCAGTGCCTCTACCTGTACATTGTGCTGTTGCCCTGCTCAGTGTGTCGCTGATGTACATCTCAGGTCCTGGCTTGTAAATGACCTTCAGGCTGTAGTTTTGCAGAGTCAGGAGCATACTTTGAAGCCTCTTGGGCGCGTTGAGGAGAGGTTTACTGAATATGGCAATGAGTGGTTTGTGGTCAGTTTCAGCGGTGACCAGCTCTCGACCATATAAGTAGTGATGGAATCGCTGGCAGGCGAAGACGATGCTGAGGCACTCTTTCTCAATTTGTGCATAGTTTTGTTCGGTGGGGGTGAGCGCTCTCGAGGCAAACGCAACGGGCTGGCCTTCCTGCATAAGGCAGCATCCAAGTCCCCTTTGGCTAGAGTCGCTCTGGATTGTGACAGGCTTCGTGACGTCGTAGTAGCGCAACACTGGCATGGATGAAGCCAGAGATTTCATCTCCTGCACTGCGGCCTCGTGCTTGGGTAGCCAGTGCCATGGTGTGTCTTTGTCCAGCAATCGGCGCAGAGGCTCACAGACTGCTGATAGGTGTGGCATGAACTTTGCAAGATAGTTTGCAAAGCCGATGAGACGCTGTACTCCTTTTGCATCAGACGGGTTTGGCATGTCGAGGATCGCTTGGACCTTGTCTGGGTCCGGCTTCAGGCCTTTTGCCGAGAGAATGTGGCCATGGAAGTGGACGTCTTTCACCTTGAACTGCAGCTTCTTCAGGCCAAGACGAAGCTTAACTGATCGGCAGCGCTCCATCAGTACCAGGAGCTTCACATCGTGGTCGCGTTCTGCTTCTTCGTCTGTTTCACCACAGCCTACGATCAGGATATCATCGGCGATGGGTTCAATGCCCTTGAGCCCAGCCAGTAACTCGTGCTGCTTGCGTTGGTATACCTCAGGCGCCACTGAGACACCAAACGGGAGCTTGAGCCAGCGTTTCCGACCCCAGGGGGTCCAGAAGGTAGTCATGAAGCTGCTTTCTTCGTCCAGCTTGCATTGAAGGAATGCATCTCGGGCATCCACCAAGGTGAAAATCCTGGCCTTGGGAAGCTTATAGAGGACATCCTCTAGTGTCGGCATGATGTAGTGGGATCGTTTCAGTGCTTGGTTCAGATGCTTTGGGTCGATGCAGACCCTCAGCTTCTCTGGTTTTTTTACTATGACCATATTGCTGATCCAGTCAGTTGGTTCAGTCACAGATGTCATGTGGCCATCGGCCTCATACTTGTCCAGCTGGGCCTTCACAGCCACTTTCATTGCAATGGGCACATTGCGAGGAGCACACTGGACTGGAGTAATGCTCTCATCCACTTCAAAGTGTACCTCCCCAGGCACTGATTCAACGGGCATGTTGAATACATCGTCATATCTACTGAGTAGTTGTTCTTTGGACAGGGGTCCATGCTGGACATGATCCACAATGTGCAGGTCATTTGGTACAGTGAACTGCATCAGTCCCAGGCGTTCGCATGTAGAGCCTGAGAGGAGAGGATTTTGACTGGTTTTCACAATCTCGAACTCCAGCTTGTGTTTGCGTCCCCGAATAACACATTCGGTCTCAAAGGTGCCCATAGAGCTCATTAGTTCTCCTGAGTACAGCTTTAGTCTAGTATCACTGGGAAATAGATGTGTGTCAGGTGCCAGATTGATTTTGTCTTTGTAGCTCATTACGTTGCATGTAGCACCCGAATCCAGTTGACATTGTTGTTGCTTGTTGTGTAATCGTAGTGTCACAAACCATTTCTTCCCTCTTGAGTGTACAGCCCCAATGGATTCATGCATGTAAATGTCACTTTCACTGTTCAGCTCTGAACATTGAGTAACATCATCAACACAGTGAATCTTGCCCTCACTCACCCTTCTTTTGCTTTTGAGACACACTTTTGCAAAGTGATTATTAGTTCCACAAGCTCTGCATGGTTTTCCATAGGCCGGGCAGTGCTCTTTGCCACGTGTGTGTGTATTCCCACAGTATTTACATGCTACGGGGCTCTCTGTGTTCACCGTTCGTGGTGAATTACTCTGCCTCGATTGGTTTTGTCTGAATGTCTGCCTAGCAACAGCGTGAACAGTATCAACGTCGGAGCGTGGGGTTTCAGTTTCCATTGCTCTCATTCTCATGTCAGTGACTTCAGCAGTGCGGCACATTTCGATGGCAGTTACTAATGTTAAGCCTCTCTCTCTCAGTAGACGCCGGCGCGTATTCTCATTTGCAATTCCCAGTACTATTTTGTCACGAATCAGTTCATCTTTCAATCCCCCGTATTCACAAGTGGCGGATTTCTCTCTCAAACGGGTTACAAAGTTGTGTACTGACTCACCCTCTTCCTGTTTGCAGCTTCCGAAAACGAACCGCTCGTAAATTACGTTTCTGGCGGGTTTGAAGTAATTCTCCAATGCATCCAATATAGCCTTTGCATCACACTGTTGTCGTGCCGTGAGGGTGAGATTGTGCCGGTAGATATGCCTGCATTCGCTGCCCATTAAACTCCTCAGAGTTGCCGCTTGTACCTCGTTGGGTTTCTCACGTAGACCGGTCGCCAGCGCATAGTCCTCGAATTCATCCCTGAAGTTGTCCCAATTAGTATTCCAGTCCCCTGTGAGAACCATGTGATTTGGTGGCGGAATGTTCGCTGCCATAGCAATGGAATAGGAGATTTCTTTGTCTTCAGTCATGGAGGTAGGTAGTGATGCTAGCTAGCCAGCTAACACGAGTTGATCAGTGTTGTGAGTAGGAAACGGCTTGTGTTCGCATATGGAACGTAACTGCGCCTATACTGTACTTAGCTACAAAAATAACAAACGTGTGTTTTCCGAGCCACTTCTGATACCATGTTTCTGTATGATATGTTGGATTAAGGAATAAAGACAGACACCAATGTTCAGTTCAATAGCCTTGTTCAGCCTTGTACAAATGCCTACGCGTGGAGTCTGGGGAACAGTCCAACTAGTCGATTGCCTATCAACTAGACTCCGTAACACATTTCACTGCAATGTCTGCACCTGTTGTATTCGGCGCATGTGACCAATAAAATTTGATTTGATTTGATTTGATTTGATTGACCGTCATCTTGAACTTCTTCCATTTTCTAATAATTGCGCCAACAGTTGTTGCCTTCTCACCAAGCTGCTTGCCTATTGTCCTGTAGCCCGTCCCAGCCTTGTGCAGGTCTACAATTTTATCCCTGATGTCCTTACACAGCTCTCTGGTCTTGGCCATTGTGGAGAGGTTGGAGTCTGTTTGATTGAGTGTGTGGACAGGTGTCTTTTATACAGGTAACGAGTTCAAAAAGGTGCAGTTAATACAGGTAATGAGTGGAGAACAGGAGGGCTTCTTAAAGAAAAACTAACAGGTCTGTGAGAGCCGGAATTCTTACTGGTTGGTAGGTGATCAAATACTTATGTCATGCAATAAAATGCAAATTAATTACTTAAAAATCATACAATATGATTTTCTGGATTTTTGTTTTAGATTCCATCTCTCACAGTTGAAGTGTACCTATGATAAAAAATTACAGACCTCTACATGCTTTGTAAGTAGGAAAACCTGCAAAATCGGCAGTGTATCAAATACTTGTTCTCCCCACTGTACATACATTTCATATCAATATGAATATACTGTAATCCAAGTTTTTCTCATAATAGTAGAAACAAGTGTCATTAATTACACACGCACTGGTTCATATTTATAATGGACTATTCCACCCTGACTAGAGTTCCCGTGCTGCCGGGTCATGGCTAGAAGGGATCCAGCTTTTGTCAAATTAACATCAGATTTGACTTTTCATAGCAGGTTAGGAGAATTTGCGCAGCATATTAGGAGAATTAACGTAGTAGGTTAGGAGAATTAGCTTAAGGTTAGGAAAGGGGTTAGGGTCAGCTAAATTGCTAAACATTTCAATTTGACGTTAATTTAACAAAAGCTGGATCACTTCTAGCCATGACCGTGCTGCCGGCCCGTGCATTGATTCACGCGATATGATTGCAAACGTGACTTTCATTGAAAGTAAGCTGCAGCAAAAACTCTGTGATGAGCTGCTTTCAGAAAAGCGAGGCAGAAAAAAGAAAAAGAAAGAAAGAAGATTTCATTTTAACAGAAATATTACCGAAGTTAATGCATTTCTTTAGGAAAAAGACAGGCGCCGTTGATAATACTGCCATCGTCATCGAGGCAGAGGACACGACGTTGACAAGCCCAGAGACAGGCCAAGGCCTAGCTAGCACTTCAACAGCCACTAGCATTAGCCTAGCTAGCACTTCAACCAGTAGCATTACTGCCTCTGCTGCTGTCGGTGGCTCATCATTATCAGTACTACCGGCTAGCAGCGGCGCAGCGGTCGCTGATGTCGAACCAGAGCGAGAGCTCAGAGAGGAAGATGCAAATCATGCAAATTCAGATCCAGAGCCTGATTCACCCCCAGCCCTTGCTCTTCCAGAGTCACAAAGAGATCAGCAGGTGGACCTACTACAGAACATGAGTGTGTGTTTAAGTGATGATGCAGCATTGTGGCCGGAAGCGCTGTCTGTCAGACAGAGGTGTGAGCTTGTCAAAAAGGGGCCAAAACACATCAGAGATATTGTGTTCCCTCAAAGTGGGGACCCAGCCCCTCAAAAATGTTGTAGTGACAACTATGGAAAAGTTATGAAAAACAGATATAAAATGACACAGACATGTAATCAAGTAGAGCTGATGCAGCTTTTTGTTTTTGTTGTCGCATTTTTTGAAAAAGAGACTCTAATTTGAGCAGTGATCGTTTTTGTTACTTACATTTTACATTTTACATTTACTGGAAGAATATCGGGACCAATTTGACAGCACATGAGCGTTGTACTGAGTGTTTACAAAACATGGAAAGTTGGCGCCACCTTGCAAAAAGATTGAAAACAGGCACAACCATTGATGCAGTCAACCAGACTGGCAGCGAGGTGGATCGCATCCTGACAAAGACCCTGGGAAGAAGTGCTGGATTGGTTACTCTGGGTGTTGCCTTGTTCAAAGGTGCTAGAGTCCTTATTTCATCTCCTGAAGTTGTTTTCACGTTTCACCTATTGGCTCGTGTGTATGTATGGACAGACGGACGGACGGACGGACGGACGGGCGGACGGACAGACAGACAGACAGACAGACAGACAGACAGACAGACAGACAGACAGACAGACAGACAGACAGACAGACAGACAGACAGACAGACAGACAGACAGACAGACAGACAGACAGACAGACAGACAGACAGACAGACAGACAGACAGACAGACAGACAGACAGACAGACAGACAGATAGATAGATAGATAGATAGATAGATAGATAGATAGATAGATAGATAGATAGATAGATAGATAGATAGATAGATAGATAGATAGATAGATAGATAGATAGATAGATAGATAGATAGATAGATAGATAGATAGATAGATAGATAGATAGATAGCTCGGTTCAGTCAAAGTAGAGGGATGGAGGACTTCCAGCTAGATGGGAAGGTGCTCACCCGCATTGCCATGATGGCCCAGGACCATTATCCAGTGAAATTGGCCATCAACTCAGACCTTGGCTGCATAGTAAGTACACAGTTCATTTGTTCTCACAGCTTGGTATAAAACGTTTTTGTTCATTAACATATTTTCCAACTGATCTGATCTCTCCCCTTCTCCATTTTCTCCTTCCCTCCATCTCTCTCTGCAGATTGTTCAGATGCAGCATGATGTCAGTATGTTTGTGTTCCTCCCTGATGAGGTCACTGCCAACATCACCCTGGTAGAGGAGAGCACACATTGATGACCCTTCAGCCTGTGCAGGTGGCCCTCACAATGCCTCTGCTCACTGACCAGGGTCAGTACTCATTCATCCCATTCCCACCTCATCCTGTCTTTGAGTTGTTGTCTCCCTCCTCAAGCCAGCTCCGAACAGCTCTGGGGGGAGGGGGGCTCAGACTGACATTAAAAGGTAATACATTTTGACAGTTAAATTACATGTCTTATAAAACCCAGTGGTGTAAAGTACTTAAGTAAAAATACTTTAAAGTACTACTTAAGTATTTTTGGGGGGTATCTGTACTTTACACTACTATTTATATTTTTGGCAACGTTTACTTTTACTCCACTACATTCCTAAATAAAATATGTACTTTTTAATCCATACATTTTCCCTGACACCCAAAAGTACTCATTACATTTTGAATGCCTAGCAGGACAGGAAAATTGTCAAATTCACACACTTATCAAGAGAACATCCCTGGTTATCCCTACTGCCTCTGATCTGGCAGACTCACTAAACACAAATGCTTTGTTTGTAAATGATGTTGGAGTGTTGTGCCCCTGGCTATCCGTGCCCCTGGTTTGCGTAATATAAGGAATGTGAAATGATTTATACTTTAACTTTTGATACTGAAGTACAGTATATTTAAAACCAAATACTGTACTTTTAGACTTTTACTCATGTAGTATTTTGCTGGGTGACTTTCACAATTGGCCCAGCGTCGTCCAGGGTAGGGGAGGGGAGGGAATGACCGGCAGGGATGTAGCTCAGTTGGTAGAGCATGGTGTTTGCAACGCCAGGGTTGTGGGTTCGATTCCCACGGGGGGTATGAAAAACAAAAAAAAGTAATGTATGCCCTCACTAACTGTAAGTTGCTCTGGATAAGAGTGTCTGCTAAATGACTAAAATGTAAATGTAAAATGTTCTAGTAGCCCTTTCCTGGAATGTTAATAATATAATTATTCAACCTTTTTCTTCTTCTTTTTCTTGCCAAAAATTCAGGGTTTCAACTGTATGTCAAACGGTTTTGTTATATTTCAGTCTTCTGTGATGTATATCAAGTGTAGTATTGGGATGCAAACTCAAAATGTAATACATTACAACTCTATATCTGACATGGAACAGGTGTCGTCTTTTTTTAAGCCAAAGTCCCATGACCATGTGTGTGAGGTGTATACTTTTGTTTCAAATGAGTTTTAAGACTACCAAGAACACACATGACGTTATTACCTGTGTGTTGTGTGTGTGTGTGTGTGACATCAGTACCTCTTTATTCCTGACAACTTCAAAACACTCCCTGATAACAATGCATGACCTCTCTGTGTACATAACACCTCTCTCTTCATCTCTCTCTACACCCTTTCACCCTTCCTCTTGTCAGTTCAACGTCTAGTTTTGATTTACATTTGGTTGAGTTGTCAACTAACGTGAATTCAATGTGAAATCAATCAAAAATGTCACAATGTCATTTAGATTAAAGGTTGGGTGAAAAAAAATGAAATGCCCTTACGTTGATGACGTTTTGCAAATCCAATCAGTTTTCCACGTTGATTTAATGTCATCACAGATTTTTTGGGTTGAAATGACATGGAAACAATGTTGATTCAACACGTTTTTTCCCAGTGGGTAATTATTGTTATACAACACAACTTTTAAAAGTAATTTTTACATGAAAAACCTGTTCATTTTAAAAAGCTTTCTAAACTGAAACAGGTTTGGCCTCCATCCAACAAGAGAGCCTTGTACAAGAGAGTCCTTAAACTGTTACATGTACACATTTAACTGTGCTATAAAATGGTAGTGGTTTTCTCTCTCACCATATTGTTTTCTGAGGTACTGTATCACATTTCCACAGTGTGTCCTGACCTGAGAGACACACTAACTCAACCACATGGAGAAAAAAACACACAATCTAATATACTTGGCTCCAGTCTCCCTAGACTGACCAAATTGAATGCCCATTAACGTCTCGGCTTCAAATCAGAGCAGATAAGAATGTGATTACACAAATTAAACAAATGGGATCAAATGGGATTTGTCAGCTACAGTTCAGACAGAACACTCAGACTTCCTGACCTTGTGTTTGTCGCACCTTAGGTGGTCTGGACCCGGGACAGACGTGGAACATAACAGACATGGATGCACTCACACACACACACACACACACACACACACACACACACACACACACAATGCGTCATGCAATGTGTCATATCATATGATGTTTCTGCAGACTTCCTGTTAAGTTAAAACTATAAACATACTCTTAGTCAGTTTTACAATAACAGTACAGACAAAGACAGACAGACAGATGGATGGATAGACACTGTCAGAGGAGAGGAGAGGAGAGGAGTCAGGCTACCTCTGGCGAGCACATGGAGGGCTGTGCGGCCCCCCAAAGAAATGCCACCCCACACCATGACTGACCCACCGCCAAACCGGTCATGCTGGAGGATGTTGCAGGCAGCAGAACGTTCTCCACGGCGTCTCCAGACTCTGTCACGTCTGTCACGTGCTCAGTGTGAACCTGCTTTCATCTGTGAAGAGCACAGGGCGCCAGTGGCGAATTTGCCAATCTTGGTGTTCTCTGGCAAATGCCAAACGTCCTGCACGGTGTTGGGCTGTAAGCACAACCCCCACCTGTGGACGTCGGGCCCTCATACCACCCTCATGGAGTCTGTTTCTGACCGTTTGAGCAGACACATGCACATTTGTGGCCTGCTGGAGGTCATTTTGCAGGGCTCTGGCAGTCCTCCTCCTGCTCCTCCTTGCACAAAGGTGGAGTTAGCAGTCCAGCTGCTGGGTTGTTGCCCTCCTATGGCCTCCTCCACGTCTCCTGATGTACTGGCCTGTCTCCTGGTAGCGCCTCCATGCTCTGGACACTACGCTGACAGACACAGCAAACCTTCTTGCCACAGCTCGCATTGATGTGCCATCCTGGATGAGCTGGACTACCTGAGCCACTTGTGTGGGTTGTAGACTCCGTCTCATGCTACCACTAGAGTGAAAGCACCGCCAGCATTCATAAGTGACCAAAACATCAGCCAGGAAGCATAGGAACTGAGAAGTGGTCTGTGGTCACCACCTGCAAAACCAGTCCTTTATTGGGGGTGTCTTGCTAATTGCCTATAATTTCCACCTGTTGTCTATTCCATTTGCACAACAGCATGTGAAATGTATTGTCAATCAGTGTTGCTTCCTAAGTGGACAGTTTGATTTCACAGAAGTGTGATTGACTTGGAGTTACATTGTGTTGTTTAAGTGTTCCCTTAATTTTTTTGAGCAGTGTATTATAGAACACTGAGAGGTTACTGGAAAAGTAGCTAGGGCCTAGAATGTCCCTTCAGCCTCTTCTGAGAGAACAGAAACACACAGACACACACAGACACGCTCGCACACAAACACACGAGCGCGCACACAAACACACACTAGCAGACACACACTAGCTAGAAAACACACACACACACTGTGACTCTTCTCCCACTCTCCTCTATTTGTGTCTTTCTCTCTCTGACTTAATTTGCGATACAAACCATTTCTCTTTTTAATCTTCTCTCTGTGTTAACAAGGTTGGCTAGTTTACTGCTGGATGGGTGTTTGTCTGTCTGACAGACATGGCCGGCTCCAGGAATAAGAGACATAAGCGGTCGCTTAGGACCACCAGACGCTAGGGGGCCAGACCCAAAGAAAACACAAAATAAACATTTGATATTATTATTTTTAAATTTTTACTTAGTAGCGGTCTCAACTTACTGTTAAGAGTTAGAATAGTAGAATACACAAGGTGCAATTTCTAAATGTGGTTATGCATCAGCAGTTTTCTGTCAGTCACTCAATTTGCCATGCCAGCTATCTAAACTAGTAATCATGTCTGAATACCGACCGGACACACTGGGCATGTGCCCAGGGGCCCTGACCACCAGGGGGCCCCCATTTATTTGTAAATTTTTTCACTCAGATATCATAAATAAGGCAAAGTCTTGGCAAAATGTGTAGAATTGCAGGAAATTAGCTTTTAAACTAATCTCTTCCCCATGGCAAAATGAGGAAAAATTGCATGACATTTTTTATAAAATTGCTAAACTTCTCTCTGCCCAATGGCAAAATGTGTACAATTGCAGAAAGCTTGCATTAAAATTGCAACATTTTCTTTACGCCCCATGGCAAAATGTGTAGAATTGCAGGAAATTAACTTTAAAACAAAACAATTTTCCCCACGAGGTGGGTGGGCCACCCAACCAAATCTTGCGTAGGGCCCCTAAAAAGCTAGGGTCGGCCCTGCTGACAGATATTGTAGTTGTTCCACTGGTCTTACAGTGTTGTTTCATTTGTCTCAAAGCGATGGTTCCCTTACAATCCATGTCCTTATTGGCAAACAGTTTCACACTAAACAGGATATCACCTCCACAGCAGACGGATGTAATCACTGTTCCATTTCAGAACCCCAGCTGCTCGGGTAAAATATCATGGCAATAGAGGTGTAATCTGGGATCCGGTTGCGGTGAAACGTGTCGCAAAAGGATCTTATCAAATCACGCCCTCCTCCTAACGAGCTCTGATATCATCACCAATTAACCTTCTGATTGGGCTAATCTGATTGAATAATCACCTAGTATGGAATTACGAAAATGGGAAATTATTATGAGTTAATAAAGCATAATTTCACTAGTATCTTCCACACCGGTCAATCCTAAACCACGGTTTTGTTCTACTTTAAAAGCTGCTTCAGCTTCATATACACACACACTCACAGATTGGTCAGGAGGTTGTTGTGATGACGGTGCCAAGTCATCTCTACTGGCGCCTGAGTCTGCCATTAATGAGTGGCCTGGCGGGACACACAGACTCCGAGGTGATGTCCATATTGCTTGTGTGTGCGTGTGTGTGTGTGTGTGTGTGAGTGTGTGTGTGTGTGTGTGTGCCGTATCGTCTTAGCTAATTTGTCATAATGACTCTGTAACAACTAAACATATGTTATCCTTTAATGAACATCAATAAAGCATACTGCTCCCCTCCCCCTC